TATTTCCTGCCGAATAGGTCTTGCTTAATTTTTGAACTATTCTCGTATAGCTTTTAAGTCATTATCTTTCTTTTGACTAATTTTAAGGTTTTCCAGGGAAGGCTGATCGTTATATTCTTCCTGTTTAACTGGGATGCTCCGGAGATTTATATTCTCTTTCTCTTTAAGCTGATATTGACTTTGAATATATGATTCGTTCAAAGCATTTTGGAGATCTTGCAATTGCTCATTTGCAAAATTGACACCCTGTTCACTTAACTTTTCTATTTAATTATTAGGTACTAATCGCAAGTTTTTCCCTCATATATGTAACTTCAGATTCCAGAGCATCTTTTTCATTTCTGTAGTCACTTGTGGGAAATCGATTTCTTAGAGACATATATCTACTAGTATTAGGACCAGTAGTAGGAATATGTGATGGACTTGTAAATCTCGATCATTTTACGCTTCTGACCTCATTATTTGGCTCTTTGGTTCTTGTTTGGGATTAGCTACTGCAATTATTTTACAAATGTCCCATTCTTCCTCAAATAAAACAGATTTTTTGTTGAAAATTCTGCAGTATGTTCAATATCTGGGATAAAATAGATTGTTGGATATCTGCGGTTGTGACTTCTTCATTTTTTTGAAATCTTATTTCTTTTAAATTTGGTCTAGATCGGGAAATGCTTTTCGCTGCTTCGTACACCTGGTCTAAAAATTAATGCTTCATGTTTTGTTGTATTGTAATTGAAGAACTTGTTGCATTTTAGATATGCTGTAGTCCATCTATGAGTGCCTGTATACCAATTTGTTCCAAAAAATCTCTAGGTGCTTGAGTGTACCTAGAGGGTACCTTAATATCGACTAAAACCTCATTTACAACTGTTATCCAAATTGTCAACAACAGTATTATATATATTTTCTGACGTTCAAGAGTTCACTAGACATTTCAGGATTTTTCGATGGCATCTTGAGTATTCTACAATTTTAATACTTCTTATACCTCTTCTTTTTCTTCAAGAAACTTCTTCTATGTGGGATAAATTTTACTAAACTTTCGTAACAATATATTTGAATGAATCAAACTGGCCAAATAAGAAATGAAATACAAATAAAAAAACAAACCTTATAAACAAGGTAATACTCCAGGCAATACACCAGCAAAAAGAAAAACTGCGAGCTACAAAAACAATGATTTTCTTTTGTTGATGACTATCCCCTGTGGATATTGGCAATCACTTTGTTACTTATAACTTTGTCTACAGCTGCTCTGACTAAATACACCGTCCTGATTGCCATATGTTTTATAATATCATGCATTCGTTCTAAATGCATATTTGTATTTAAACCAATAAGACCAATTTAAGGTCCAATTTAAAGTTCAATAAGACATACAGTTCGCTGATATTCTTTACAAAAATATATTTTCCGAATTAAGTGCTTCTTTATTGCTTTTTAAACGTTTTAACACTTCTTTAAATATTTGTTCAAACGCGATCTTGTATCTTTTTTCCATCAAAGTGCGAGTCATTTTATATACTTCGGCTGGTCATTCTTTATTACTCTTGATTTTGTTCAAGATTTTTTTCTCCATGCGCTGTCTACATGTCAGGAACAAAATAATTGCAAATTAGGCAGTTCTGTATGTTACGACTTTCTATACCTTGAAAAATTTCTCGATCATGTTTGACATAACACGTTAGTTTATAATACCGCCAAGTGCATCTCTAATATTTTAAAATATTACTTGTAACATTTCGATTTCGCCATCGCCAACTTCGGTTTCCGTGAAAAAATAAGGCAGGCTTTTATCGAGCGCTGGATAGATTTATAAGATGAATGATAGTAATGATAACGCATTTTGAATGCAACAAACTGAATAGCCGAATAGCACACAAACTAAATCCGAAGTGCATAATACTAGAGCTATGGAAGCGTTAAATACATGTTTATATCCAGCTTTGGATAGATTATAAGTTTAGTGATTTCAGCTTGAATACTACATTTGAACTAAAGCGCATTATTTAAAGGAATTTAATGGCATGAAATTCTAGAATAACATTCCACATTTATTAATGTTTTGTTCAGGAATCACCATAAGTGGCTCGACAATCCGTCGTGGATCTTGGTCTGCTCACGAAGAAGTCGCCACTCCTGTCGATTCCTGCCAACTTCCCTTCATCTTCTAACCCTTAGAATCTGTAGATCTTCCACGTCATCAATCCATCTCATTCGTAGTCGTCCTCTGCTTCTTGTGCCCTCTGGTTTTGAAAATGTTAATCTCTTCGTTTATTCGTGATCTGACATCCTAGCAATGTGTCCAGCCCATCTCAGTCCCTGCACTTTAACGAATTTTACAATATCTGGATCGGTGTTATAATTGATATAGTTCAAAGTTGTATCTTCGACGCCATAGCTCATTTTCATTTACGGCCCAAAAATCTTTCTAAGAATTTTTCTCTCAAAAATACCAAGAAGTCTTTTATCATTTTGAGATAAGGTCCACGTTTTAGCCCCATATATCAAAACCGGTCTTATTAAGGTCTTGTATATATTAAGCTTTACTGCACGATCGGCCTTGGGTGGGCAGCATTTGGAAAACTGAGAGAAACTTTTAAAAGTGAGCTGCCCATATGCTTAAAGAGAAAGGTATTTGAACAGTGCGTCCTCCCAGTCTTGACGTACGGAGCAGAAACACCTACCTTAACAAAAGCAACTGCTACCAAACTGAGAGTCACGCAGAGAAAAATGGAGCGGTCCATGTTAGGAATAACTCTGCGAGACAGAATAACCAACGAAGACATCAGGAGAAGAACCGGAGTGACTGACATCATCGAGAACAACTGATTTGTTATCAACCAGGTCCTCGTAGACACTTCGTCTCAGGTCCATTTTACTCATGTAGAGTCATACGCCGCCATGTTACCTATCCAACGGTAACTTAACCATCACAAATTAGAAATACTAATAATGTAAAACAACTTCAAATTTATAACATTTAAAGGGTTTTTACCCATATATTTTGGTGGCTACTAGCATGTACAACCGTTTTGCACTGATGATGGATTGTTTAATCCGAAAACGTTTTGCAATGTGTTTGTGAATAGCCCGTTTGAGGCATTTTTATATACCTTTTATAAAGGATTTTCACAAAATTTTTTTGTGATATATGGTATTACAGCCAGCTACAGGAACTTAGTTTCCTCGTGGAAAAAGAAGTAGACCTCGACGCTCATGGAATGAAGGAATTAGAAGAGCGATGGAATCGAGAGGTTTGCAGGAGGAGTATGCCTAGGACCGGGAGGATTAGCGGAGGAGAACGGGAATACGGCGATAGCCGTCTTCAAAATGTATTGTATTCACAAGTTGGATCCTGTAATATATATTGTTATGATATGTAAAATCGAGATAAATATTGGTTTGCTTAAAATATTTCAAAGTTCAAAAAAAAATTAAAATAATTCAGATAAGTCGAATAATAAACTACAAACATTTCGAAGAATGAAAGTCCTTTGTCTTTGGATTACCTATAGTGAACAAAACGTAAGATATGCATAAATTATTTTCTTTGTTAAAATATATTTGAGTGACGTGAGGAGCTTAAGTGAAATCTTAGACAATGGAAGCGGGTTTCAAATAAATTTATGCAGTAATTAGAACAATAGAATAGATTTTAGAAAGATATGTTTTTGTTAGTTTTAAGAAATTTTATAATTGTAGGTAAAAATTTGTTTGTGTTATCGAAATGAAGAAATGGAAGATGTATGACGCGTTTTGATTGGATGAGATTGAAAAAGGTGGGATGGTTGGTTTGAGAATGAGACTTTAGTTAGTTTTGAAGAAAAAAAAATAGGCAGGTGGTTTCCAAGGGTGCAAGGCGAACGGCCGTTGTTCTTCGGGTAGTTTCCCAGAGGTAGAAAGCAGTAGCAGTGAAAGTTTGTGAGTTTTCGTGTAGTTAGTGTATCTGACAGAAGCTGATCCAGTAAAAGATTGTAAGTCATACTTTTCTACTTATATTCCAAGAGTCACTGTTCAGGCCAACGAGAGATTCAGTTTATCGTAAAGAGAAGATATTCCAAGAGTCATTTTTCACTCAGACCAACGAGAGATTCAGTTTATCGAGAGGAGAAGAGGCTAGCATAATTTGAATGATTCGTGCATTTGAAGGAGATCATTAAGGACGATAAACTTGCAACAATTTGTTGTAAGATTGCTGATTACCTAGGGAGCTACTAAGAATAGATAGTATAGGCTACAAGGAACAAGGATTTGGACCACTCATCATCAGAGAGAGATAGTTTTGTTTTTCTGCAGTTTTTCTTTTATTGATAACACAATTTTTACAATTACTTTAGAAAAGATATAAATATTTTGATTAGGAGATTTAGAATAATAATTGGGATTTTGAGATTTTAACTAATATTGTTTGTACCATTAATTTTGAAGGTTCACGTACGAAGAACAAAATTTTGAGAATCATTATATGAGATATTGTTTATTAAAAACATTTGAGTGTGAATTTTATTTCATTATTTTTATTTCAATATATAATGTTATATCATATATGTTTTTTATTATTCCGGTATTCTTTGGACCTTACCTTTCACATGTAAAGCATAGATATTGAAGCACGAATTTAACCCTGAGATAAGAAAATTAAAAAGTGTGATAGAATCATAATCATATCATTTAAATAATTTTTATTAATTAATTAATTAATTAGCTAATTAATTGCTTGGCGCACTAAGATCTTGAATATCACAATAATATATATATATATATATATATATATATATATATTATATATATATATATATATATATATATATATATATATATATATATAAAATTAAATTTGTTTATAAACCTGTAAATTAAATTGTTAATTTTTTATCGTGCTTCGAATATCCAGATTTTATCCAGATTTCTACTTTTTCTTCTTTCCATATACTATTACAATATGATTTTTAATATTTATTTTGGACTTCTTTGTAAACTTTAATAAACACAGTGATCTGTCAATCATTTATTAATTTTTAATAATAACTAATAATATTTTGGAACAGAAAATAAAGAAACAATTAAGAATCTGTAATACTTCAAAAATACTGCTAGGATCTTCTACTTTAACAGCCTCTGTGTCTACGTCCAGCGCCGTATTTATGGCCTAAAGGACTTTTTGTTGTTCGATCTTTGTGTTGTTTATTTCCAACGCCATTATTCCACAAAGAAACCTTATGATTTGGGTCCATTTCGGAAGCGCCACTGGGACTGATCTGTATTTACTTGGATTACCGCAGGAGAGCTTTTTATCTCTTGCTAACTTTTGAACAAATCCTACCGATTCTTTAGGCGTTCTGGTTCTGTTTGAATCTTTAAAATCAACATGGTATATCCCAAAGTGAGCACTAAAAAAATTGAACTTATTAATAAAATGGCATAATTTAAAATATAAAAAGACTGATACGTTTAGTAAATATTTTTAAATCAACATATTTTCGTATTTATCCACAGATAAATAAGCTAACCCTTATTTTACTCTTGTTTGCATCGTATTGTTTCTTCCTTCTGGATTACAAAAACTATTTATTTTGCCTTTTTTACATTCTAACTGTAAGTTGCTTCTATCTGTGTTTATCTAGCTCTGATTCTATTCCTCCTGAATTCATCATTTTTTTTCCTTTCCCGATTTGTCACATATAAAACAAGCGAGACTCTTCACAAAGAATGCACTTAGACCAATTGATGATCATCATCATTCTGGTTCTACAACCCTGCGTAAGTCCTAGCCTCCTGAAGAATTTCTCTCCAGTTGTCCATATTCATCGCCTTTCTCCGCCAAGCACGTATTCTTATATTTCTCATGTAGTCATCAATGTTATCAAGGAATCTTGTTCTGGGTCGTTCTCTTCTTCTATGACCAACGGGTCTATCAAGGAGCGTTTTTCTAGCTGGGTCATTTTATTCCATCTATGTATATTCTCTAAAGTTAGAAGTTGTATCGTCTTCTCCACACTCCATTGTCATTTCCTGCTCCATAGATTCGCCTTAGTACTTTTCTTTTGAAATATCCTAACATGTTTTCACTATTTTTTGTTGGAGTCCAGGTCTCTGAATCATATGTTAGGACTGGGCGTATTATTGTTTTGTAGAGTTTTATTTTTATATTTCTCGATATAATTGTGGACAACAAAATAAGAGCAACAGAGATGGAATTCCTAAGGAGAAACTGCAGAGTATCAAGAAGAGATAGAATAAATAACATGGAGATTAAGAGGAGAATGAGAATGAACTCCGACATAATAGACTACATCGAACAGAAGAGGTTAACCTGGTACGGACATGTCAGAAGAGCAGACCAAAATCGGTGGATAAATAGAATAACAGAGTGGAGACCGATAGGAAGAAGAAAGAGAGGCAGACCCCGAAGATCTTTCAGAGATGATGTGGACGAAGCAATGAGAAGAAGAAACCTACAGGAAGGGGACTGGCTAAACAGGAAAAATTGAGAAACGTTGAGTGAAGAATACAGTGAAAACTGTGGAAATCCTTGTATATGTATATATATATATATATATATATATATATATATACATATAATGTGGATTTAATGAGGAGAATTGAACCAAAATAGCATTTGTTGGCCGTGTAAATTCTGCGGTTTTAGCTCTGCGTTAGTATTATTTTCAGTATTAAGGAGCGCATACGTATTACTTTTTCCAATTTCCAGAGCCAAATTGAACAGTATACAGGAGAGAGGGGTTTCCCTGGCTCAGCCCATTATTTGTTTTAACAGGTTCAGATAGCCTCTGAATTCGTACTCTACATTCAACTTTTTCAAGAGTTAGTTTTGTTAAATTTACCAACTGGTTTGGTATTCCTAGCTCTTTCATTACTTTGAACATTTCTGTTCTATTCAGAGTCGTAGGCTGCTTTGTAGTCTATAAATATGTGATGAATATCAATGCCATATTCCAGTGTTTTTTTCCAAAATTTGTTTCAGGGTTGCAATCTGATGAATTGTCGAGTAACCACTCTAAACCATCTGCTATATATTCCTAGTGCACGTGAATATTTTTATACGCTGCATTTAGAAGCGTCATTCTCTTTGTTTTATACCTTTTTTGTATATGGTGCAAAGTACTTCAATATTCCAATCATTGGGGAGGGATTTCTGTGTGCATATTTTTTATAAGCTGCTGTTAATCCCATTATGATATTATGGTCACCTTCTTTATATAGTTCAGCTGGGAGATTAATAAATTTCTGGTGATTTGTTTCTGGCTAGTTTTTTAACTGCATCTTTAACTTCAAGAATCGTTGGTGGTTCCTCTTTACTCTCGTCGATACCCTTACCTCATTTCTTTCGTCTTCCAGGTTTTCTTCTTCTTCCTCCATATTAAGTGCCTGGTTAAAGTATTCCAACCATCTATTCAATACATCTTTCCTTGTTGTTAATAGGTCGCCATTCTGACTTCTACATTGTCTTGTGGTTGCCTTGAATTCTTCTCTGTTGATGTTAACTTTCTTATAGAATGATCTGAATTCTTTCTCTCTGTTAAGGTTTTCTATATATTTAAGTTCCGTATTTAGGTGTATCCTCTTTTCTTCTCTTCTCTTTGTCTGGTAATTCTCTACAGTTGTTCTAGTTCGTCGGGTATGCCTCTTTCTGTAGGCTTCATATTTTCTTTTGTTCTTTTGTTTTTTCTTGCATTCATCGTCAAGCCAATGATTTTTACGGGCACAAATTTCTGTTCCTATTTCATCTTTCGCTGCTGCTTCAATGTCTTCCTTTATTTTGATCCAGTAGGAGTCTATTTCTGTCTGTCCTTCTTCATTTACATTTTGATTCCTTAGCCTGTTGATGATGTTTCTGAGTACCGTTCTGCAATTGTCGCATCTCGCAGCTTTTGCACATTCCCTTTTTTTGTATCCATTTTATTTTCTTTTTGGTATAAATTCTAGCCCTCAATGTTGAGATCACTGGGCAATGATCTGAGTTTATGTTTGCGCCTCTATAACTTCTGCAGTTTATTATATCTGTTCCATGCCTCCAATCTATTAAGATGTGATCAATCTGACTCGTTCTTCTTCCATTAGGAGAGGTCTAGGTTACTTTGTGTATGTTCTTGTGCCAATTGATGATCACCATTGAAAATTTAAAATTTTTGTTTGCTCTTAAGTTTAGTTTTTATTTTT